ATATATATGTATATATATATATATATATATATATATATATATATATATATACTGTATGTGTGTGTTTGTGTAATATTAATATATAATATGTATAGAAACTATAAATTAATCAGTTTTAACTTGTCTTGGCCTTCAATAAAACCAAAATTTAGGTAGGCTTTGCCATACTGTTTAATCTTTTTCTTCGCCTCTGAAGAATCACTGCATTTACGTTTCTCTGCCGATTTTGTTTTGATTTTGCCTTTACGACACGTTGACAAGCACATTGCGTGAGTGAGCAAAATTTAAATAATTATTTAAAGTTATTTATTTTAATTATTTTTACTATTATGTTGGAATTTTAAGCATGTGTATTGATATATATATATATATATATATATATATATATATATATATATATATATATATATATATATATATATATATATATATATATATATTTGGTACTTAAAAATACATATATAATAGTAGGGCTGCTCGATTTTGGGAAAAATCATAATCACGATTATTTTGGTCATAATTGTAAAATTGTAATCATGATTATTCAAAACGATTATCAGTTAAAGTCAAAATTATTAGTGCTCCTGAGAATTTTTTTTTAATATAAATATTTTCCAAATTATGTTTAACAGAGCAAGGCATTTTAACAATATTTCCTATAATATTTTTTTCTTCTAGGCTTATTTGTTTTATTTTAGCTAGAATAAAAGCAGGTTAAAATATTTAATTTAAGGTCAATATTATTAGCCCCCTTAAGCAATAAATATTTTTGATTGTCTGCAGAAGAAACTACTATTATACAATGACTTGCCTTATTACCCTAATTAAGCCTTTGAACTGCACTTTAATCTGAATGCTTGTATTTTTAAAAATACCTAGTGAAAGATTATGTACTGTCATCATAGCAAAGATAAAAGAAATCCGTTATTAGAAATGAGATATTAAAACCTTTTATTTTTATATTTTAATGCCTTTTTCTACCTCAACACTTATCCTCTCCCGCGCCCCCCTTGTGAACTCTGGCGCCCCCCTTAGGGGGGCGCGGACCCCAGGTCGGGAACCACTGACTTAGATGAAACCATTGGTTGCTATGTTGGGTTGGTTTAGAATGCACTTTTTGCCTTATAAATGACTAGTTGTTCCCTGTTAAACTAGGATAAAACAGATATAAACATATGTAAATATATGTTTATTTTTTGGACAAATCTACCTGTTACACTTGCGACAGTGATGTGACCTTGGTGCTTTATAGCCTTGGCACAATCTACAGAACTGTAAGTACATTATATCTTGTTGTTTCTCCTGTTAGAAAACACAAACAACAACACAAGTCTTATTAGACATGCAGATTGCAAACACGTTCAGTAAAACAGTCCACGTCATACAACAGGCAGCTAGGCACATGCTTTAAAAGCTTTGAATGCACTACTGTTAAACAGATTGGGGTCAGTATAGATTTGTATAAAGGAATTAAGCAAGGATGCACTCAATTGATCAAGACATTTTAAATGCTACAAAATGTTTCAGATTTTAATAAATGGATTTTATATTATTCCTAGAATCTTGAACAAACTGAATTCTGTTTACCACCAAAATATCAAACAGCACAATCATGAGAAATTTGCATATTAGTATGATTCTTCAAAATCATATGACACTAAAGAAGTGAACTGATGCTAAAAAAATCTGTTTTGCTGTTATATCTGTTATCTGTTAATCTAATTCAATAAATGCAGCATCTGGAAACAAAAGTGACTTTCAAAAAATCTTTTTCAAATGTTAACGTCCTCAAAAAAACTACTTACCGGTTTCCACTCTAGGGGAATGTAACCAGGGCCCACAAACATGGCATTAAAGTAGTTGTAAAGAATGAGGACGGTCCAGTTAATGAGCATGATGAAGTTGATGCTTCCTCCAGTGGTGTCCAGTGGCCAGTACCAGATAATGGAGTCCAGAATGGCCATGGAGGAACAAACGCCGATGACTGTCAGAGCGATGATCGGACCCCAGTGAAAAAGCCTCTTGACCTCATGGAGGTTCTCAAACACGATTATAGCAGACAGTATATTCATTGTTACGATGTATGTCAGTGTCTTTAAGGTCCTCAGTGTTACAGCTATGAAGTAGTCAGGCCTGCTGTCTCCGTTTATTGCAGTGACTTAAAGAGGTCAAAGGGCATCTTTTCTGTCTTCTCCGAAACAACCAGCGATCGGCTATGTCACCAGTCACAGGGGCCAGCCACTTCCTAGAGCTGCAGACTCTGTGTGGCATCCTTTCCTACTAATCCTCTGATCACACTATCCTCGAGCTAAAGCCAGACCATCCATCTGAGGACAAGATTTAAGAGTTTATAATAATAATGCTGAAGATTATATAATAAAAAAGATGAAGATTGAAACTTTGATCAATAACCTCAAAATTTTATTGTATGCCATTTTACTATAGTTAACCTTTGTTGAACTTCCAGTTAATTTCTATATAACATGAAAAATTAGTTAGGGATTGAATTTCCTACTGTCTATCATTCTTCCATTCATCTACCTAACATGCTTAATAAAGTTCTTAATTTTGTGATTCAGATGAAACCTTTCTTAGCCTTTGTTATTTGTTGTCAGTTAATATTTATTATTGTTATGCCAGCATTATTATAACATACCTTCACTAAATCAATTCTTTGATTAAACTTAATGGGAAATCCAAATGTAATTTCCGTGATTTTTCTTTTAAAAGTCCTTACTTATCAAACATCAAAACAATAAAAGTGTAATATAAATACACTTTTGCTGTCCGTAACAGTGTTTTGCTTTATTTTTTTCTGAGCTAACAATAATCTGTCTACATTTTTTAACCACAATTTAAATAAGACACTCCAAATAAGTCAAATAAATATACTGACACATTTACCACTAAATCCACCATACTAATAAAAAACACAATTTAGAATGTTCATGATTATTTTCTCAGTGTTTAATTTCAACGTGCAATTCATATTTTGATTATTTAATACATTTTGTAGCAAGTGTTTTGATTTGTTTTATTATGACTTGTTTAAATATCTAATTTAATTCAGAGTTTTATTTTCACTTATTTTGTTATAAAATATGTATAAAAGGCATTGATGACTACAAAAGCATTCATTTATTCATTCATTCATTTTCTTTTCGACTTAGTCCCCTTATTAATCTGGGGTCGCTACAGCAGAATGAATCGCTAATTTATCCAGCATATGTTTCACGCAGCAGGTGCCCTTCCAGCCGCAACCCATCACTGGGAAACATCCATACACACTCATTCACGGACAATTTAGCTTACACAATTCACCTGTACCGCATGTGTTTGGACTGTGGGGGAAACCGGAGCACCCGGAGGAAACCCACGCAAACATGTTGAGAACATGCAAACTCCACACAGAAATGCCAACTGACCCAGCTGATGCTCGAACCACTGATCTTCTTGCTGTGAGGTGACAGTGCTAACCACTGAGCCACCGTGATGCCCCCACTCCAAAAGCAAGTTTTTAAATCTATCACAGTGTGTAACGTTTGAGCACACAGGCTCTTTTGATGAATGAAAGAATTACTTAAGTATGTTAATTCATTTATTCATTCATTAATTCATTCATTCATTTTCTTTTAAGCTTAGGCCCATTATTATTCTGGGGTCACCACAGCGTAATGAACCACAAACTTATCCAGCATATGTTTTACGCAGTAGATACCCTTTCAGCCGCAACCTATCACTGGGAATACTCTCATTCACAGACATACACTATGGCCAATTTAGCTTATTCATTTCACCTGTACCAAATGTCTTTGGACTTGTGGGGGAAACTGGAGCACCCAGAGAGGAAACCCAGGCCAACACGTGGAGAACATGCAAACTCCACACAGAAATGCCAACTGACCTAGCTGAGGCTCAAACCAGTGACCTTCTTGCTGTGAAGCGATCGTATTTTAATAAATTTTAACATAAATTACATTAAATTGAGGTGAATGACAACAGAACATTATTTAATTTCATGAACGTTATCTAAAACCCGAAAGTAGACACTTGCATTTAGTGTTTTCTAATATGTATATAAATTAAATTTTTTTTGTTTATTTCATTTTTAATGCCGACACCAAAACTAGACATGTCAGACACATCAATTTATGATTTACTTCACTATCTATATGCCTTCTAGAGCTAATTTGTTTAGCATTGACTGCCATTATGACAAAACTGAATCTATTGTAAACGAAAACTACAATTATAAAGTGATGAATACAATGGGTAATGTTACCTGTCAAATATTGTGCTTCAGTGGCAGCACACCTTGTTTCCAAGGCACACCCAAACTTTGTTTCTATGCTCATGTGTTGCATAATTTAGTTTATATTTTACTACTTCCACTATTTTTGGTGCAACACGCAAGGTTAAAGGTTAAAGGCAAAAGCGCACGATGTTTAAACGCCATAAAAAATAACAGTCTGCTGTCAGTCTGCATGAAGTAAATCAGTCCAGCTCAAATACTAAACAAACTTAAATCCAACCAAAAGGCGGTATAATTCAATTTTATGAGGTAAAATATTGAAGTCTTAACTGTAGAAATGACCTTATCTATAACTAGCAATCTATATGATAGCAGACCTTAACCAATGACACATGCTTCAAGGCAAAAAAACAAGGTTACTAACACATGTAAGACGTCATTTATCTTTCATTATGACCCATGTATCGTTAATTGTACTCTATACTGAAATGAAAAATTAATCGTTGACACATACTGTACCTCGACTACTGTTTCCTCGTGCGGTCAGAGTCCAAGAAAAATGACAGCGCCGCTTAATATGACCCAGTGAACGCGCTATTTAGCCAATCGTAATACTGTCAAAGCTTAAATCCGTTTTCAAAAATAACTACACGCAATTCAACGAGGAAGACCAAACAATTAATCGCACGACTCACCCCACAGCGGAACCATTGACAGGAAGAAATCGTGAACAAATTCCCGTGACACCACCCGGAAGTGACGCGGACGTCAATAAGAAGCAGACACAAGCAACAGTGTGTAACGCAGCTCAGTTTATCGCTCTTTTAATCTTTTAAAACTAAAAATACAACATGTCTTCAGATTTTGAAGCGTACGAACAGGACTTTGGGACCCTCACCGCTGAAATAACCAACAAAATCGGACGAATACCCAAATTAGCCGGTGGTAAGTGGATGTTAGATGAGCTGCTTAGCCAAAACATTGGTGTTAGAGAGACATAAACAACTCGTTTAATCATTTATTTATGCAGCTTGTGTGTGTGGTCGGTGTATTATTTAGAAATGGCCCATATCATTTGGTAAAGAAGCTATAGTTCGGGATGGTCGTGGTGTCAGATGTCCAGTATCACATGAGTCTGAGGAGACAGGATTTAGGTGACATGGGTCTTGGATGTCATCTTGTTTTTCTTAGATTTATTAATGTTATATTGGAATTAAGGGTTTTTAAATAAATAAAAAAAGATTTATTTTTATATACCAACGTAGAAAAGAATACTATCGAGTGAGACTAAACTAATTCCTTCATGGTTTTTCAGTGTTGACAATTTAATTTACTGTTTGATTTTAAGCATTGTGATTGATTGGTTTATTGTTTCCTGCATAATGAATTATACTGACATAAAATGCCATAATGCACCAGTTATAGGAGGAGATAATAAAGCAAGTTTTGATAAAAATAAAATTTGTGTACACTTAGTCAGGAGGAGTCTTTAACTTTTTTCAGGCCAGAGCCTGCGAGATGAAGTGACATATTGCAGAGGTTTTTTTATTTTTAAATGCTGTGTGGGCCACCAAAACTTTGCCCTTATCTCTATGTTATACCTATTGTTAGGGTCAGGCTATTTCCAGCTCCAATTTATCATCTAGTAGACATTTACGTTAAACACAATAGCTGGAATGTACCTGTTATAATGTTACCTGTTATACATTTAATAGCTTTGGCTTCAAAATAAATACTTGAAAAGGACTGGGTGTTAAAAACAATATGGCAGAAAAATTTAATGTAAAGTTGGTAAAACTGCTATCAAGCTATCAAATATGGGAGATGGATAATTCACCTCACAGCCACACAATCTGTATGTACATCAGGTTTATTTTTAAATCTGACTTAAGTTATATATTGTTGTTCTCATAAGAACTATTAAAGACATGCAAAAAGACATTCAAGCTAAAACCATTCTAATAGTATGCAAAGCACAACAGCCGCCTGTTTTCCCATTTATTATATTTATAGATCATGGAAATTCAGGTTTAGTAAGTAAAAATCTGGGAATTTGGCTTTCAATGGGAACCCTGATGATTTATATTGATTAAATGTTATTTTAATTTTGCATTTTAATTGATCATTTATTATTTATTAACTTGTTTGTTAGAATTATTATTATTATTATTATTAAGCCTACATTTTCATGTTTGTATATTCAAAAATGCCTAACAAGATCTCAAACTGTTACAAATGCATATTCTTAAGATGCTGCTCACCATGCACACATTTTATAGTCATATTATTTCTCATTGTTATTAATTGTAATATTTATTATTATAATATTATTCTATAATATTTATTATAATATGTTTATTGTCATCAACAGTTATTGATGTTTAATTTTTTTGTGAGAATTATGCTTAATTTTTCTTAGAGTTTTTGTTTGAAAACATTTCATGAACAGCAATTATTTGACAATATATTTTTAAATACATTTTCTTTTCTGTTTAAGGTTACTATTGATTATTGTAAGGCCTCATTTGTGAATAAATGTTTTTTATACTGCATATACGCTTTTAAAAATGAAAAAGCATCTGAAACTCTTTTTGATATTAATAATAGGGAGAAGCATTATTTGATCACCAAATCAACATGCTAGAATAACTTCTAAAGGATCATGTGACTCTAAAGAGTGGATCAACAATGCTGAAATTTCACTTTGGCCTTCACGGAAATAGGTTACATTCAAAAATATTTTAGCATAGAAAACTGCTATTTTAATGTATAAGACTGTTTTTCAATATTAGTGAATTTACTGCATTTTCCAAATAAATGGAGCCTTGGAGAGCATATCAAAGACTGAAAATTCCAAATAGATGAAATATCAATATATTACAATGTGTTTTGGTTTTGTTTATATTTTGGTTTTTTTTTTCCCCATTTTCTCTAGTCTAAACCCAATCTGGTAGTCAAACAATTAATATTGGTGTCCCTGTAGTAACTTCATGGAGCCCCTAGAGGTCATGGATTCCTGATGTTTTTCTAACTTATTTGGACATCAGATGCTGTGTGTACTGCATAATATATAATGGATGTATGTGTTCATAGACTATAGGCAATTTCAATATCAATATCAATATGTCTGCACTAAACACAACTTCATCACAAATTTCTTACACTTAGGGTTGCAAGTTATTGTAAGTTGTCATCTGCATCTGTAAACCTACTGTCAATACACCTGTTGTTGTGTTGTGGTTTTATTGCTCAAGTCAGACAAACTTGTTTCCATGAGAACAATGTTATTATGAGATACAAATGATTGCAGATAAGTCAGAGCTCATTATTTAAAAATATCATCAACCTTGTATATATTTTGACTCATCTTTTTTGTCTTTTATAAATGCATCCAAAACAATATAGCCAATGTTAAACGTTAATATTTTCCTGAGTACTTTTACTATATATTCTACTATTTTGGTTATTTTTTACATTTGTTTATTAAAACACAGCTTTTTATTTTTCCAGTCTAGTTGGAAAAAGAACAGAACCAGTTATGATTAACAGTTTTATGTCCCTCTTTTTTTTGTAATTTTTTACTTTGGTCTCCTATTATTTGATTAAATAGAATTACTAACAATCCTAGAACACTGAGGTTTGATTGTATATATAAAAAGAAGAAAAATGATTTCTGATCATTTGAAAAAAGTCTTAAAATATGTAGGATTAATATTTGAATAATTTAAAATAATTATCAATAATAGTTAATAATTAATGATAATAATGATTGGAAGTAATTATCAATTAAAAATTAATAAAAATTGAAAATTACTTGAAAATGATGTACTAAATGGTATTAAAGCTAAAATCCTCTTTAAAGAAATAAAAAAGGCAAAAATAATTGTAAATAATTTAAAATGAATAAATACTTAACTAAAATGTATAAAATACAAATAAATGTAATAAAATACAAATATAAACACCTACAATATTTTAAACAAATGATACATTTTATATATCAAAATAAAACACAAAACATTTTTACTTTTATATATTTGCACATAAATATGTATAGAATATTCAAAAGTTTGAAGTCAGTAAAATTTTTATAAATTAAATTAGCAGTTTTCTGAATTTAGTGATTCATGTTCCCCGTTTATTTCTGCTTTTGAGTTGCATTATGGGACCTTGATCTTCTTTCAACCTTGAAAAAGTGATTTTATAAAATTTTTTTAATAGTTTAAAGTGATATATTGTCTGGGTTTGTAATGAGCTGCCAGTACATTTTTTGTTATTTTACGAACTCTATATATTATTTCATTTTCTTATAATATTTCTTGTTATTTGACAGAGCAAAGATCAAGGTTCTGTAATGCAATTCACAACCATAAATAAATGGAAAACACTTGTCAATCACAAAATACGGAAACTGTTTATAAATTAAACTGATTTTTTTACAGTTAATTACTAAGCTGGTTTGGTTGAAAATAGTAATAATATGTTTTGAATTGCTGCTACTTGTCTTATCAGTTAATATTTTGTATAGCTACTTTTTTGTTAGAATCATATAATGTTAATTCTATTCATTTATTTTGCATAACAGTTTTAAAGAGAGCTCAACAACTTTTTTGAATCCTCTGAGACAAACCTTAGGGCCAAGAGAGGTTCCAGTGCTTGCTTGAGTTTATTGTCTATAGTATTTCTGTGTGATTGTTGGCCTCACTGACCCTTTTTATTATTTTTTGAGCTGTTCAGGAAAGCAAGAGTGTGCTGTGGTTAAGATATCTTCTATCCTCTGGAAATACTGCTCAGGATGCTTTTGATATTGAACTTTTTGTTTCGCTCATGTTGTGAACTCTTAAGAACACAGTTTAGTTTCAGTTCAAAATTCAAAACAAAAATACAATTAATTCAAGATCTTGTTCTGACTCTGCTGCCTTGAAATGAAAAGTCAGAGCAATGAAAGGTCACTTTAATACAGTCGGCTGACTTTTAATAATATAAATGATTGCTTTTAGTCGGTAATAAACCTCAGCACTCTGGTCTCATAATAATAACCTGATGCAACGCACGTTAACAAAAGGTGAGAAGGATTAATCACTTATTCACAATCACACAGCAGCATGTGTCCTCAGTTCAGTAAGCGCTGTCAAACAACTGCAAAACACGATTGGCTTTTCGTTGCATTATTTAAGCACATTGAAAAGAATGAGAATGTGGCGTATTGTCGAAGCTTAAATTGCTTCTTCAGAGCTTGGCAGAAACAAACAGCGTGTCATCAGTCCAACCCACCAACGCCTGCTAAATATATTTAAATAAATCCACCCAATATGAACAAAGCCATAAGCAAAGCGGGCTCATTAATGATGGCCAGGCTGTTCCTTACCCTTCGTCTCTTGTATTCAAATCTCAATTATACCCCTAAAAAAGGCGTTTTTTTTCTCTTTCCTAGGTACACAGATTTGTTTGCGACCGACAATGGCGTCAACAAAGCGGCTTACGCTGTTGTTTGGCTTACGCATTGGCATTGTACAGTGTCACATGTGTAGAAACATTGATAAAGACCAATGGACAGATGTAATGCCCTTGGCGATTTATTTATTTATTTATTTCCGTTCATTCACTGGAGAACCTCCAAGATGTTTTGTTGTTGAACAGCGCAAAACTTGAAATTTGAAAATAATGCAAGGCCTTGCTCCATTAAACATAAATGCACTTTTTTTAGGTAGATTTTCACAAAGAGAATGAGCTGTCAATCACACACAATGAAAAATTGAGCAGAGATGCAAAGATGCGTCCACGAGTCGAACTTTTTTCTCAGTGCAACGCTTTTGCCCAAAGAGCAGCTGACCTTGTGGTTCTGGCCCAAGCACCTGCAATAGTGAGATGTATATTTCAAGCTGCCCTATGCCAGGGGTGAATGCAGGCCCCAGTGTTTGCTCACCTTGTAGAGAATCGCCCCTGGCTGTTTACAGTGTGTGGGCTGTGAGGTTGCACACGGATTTTAAAAATGGATTGATGACCACCAAAAGACATTGAAAAGCCAAAGGGCAAAACCGAAGTTCACTTTAGTTTTCCAGCCTTATTGACAGCTTCCCGGTTTGATACGGCTTGATGTTTTTTCTTCATGATTAGTGCGAACGCTTGACATGGTTTGATGTGCTTCAGTGGTCTTGTTTGATCAGGAGATGTAGCGGTGTTGTTTTCACAAGGTTATTTATTTATGGTGCACTTCTATCATTGCAAATTTCTGATTGTAAATGGATGGTTCTGGTCCTTTTAATGCTAACCAGTCGAGACTGCATTTCAGCTGGACTAAAAATACCTTGATGTTTTGAATGTTAAATTATGAAGTATACTTGCAGATTCATGTCAATTACCAATGTGTTAAATGTAATAAAAAATCTTTACATTTTGATGTCTTTTAATTAGGGCTGCACATTATATAGTTTTAGCATTGATATCGCAATATGCACAATAGTCACATTGCAGCATCTGCAGTGTTCAGTTATGTTTAGAGTTAACCAGGAGAAACCGTTTAGGACAAATGAGAATTGTTAATGCAGAGTTTAACCAAAATAGAGTGAGTTTTTCATTTGCACGTGTTTTTAAGGCCTGACAGCGTTCAAAGTGTTCAAGCACAAGAAATGTTACCATTTGTTGCTTAAATAAAGAATAATTTTGAATTATTTATACAGTAAATACTTTTGCACTGTTTTTTTATACTTGATTATTCAAATTCTGCACCTGAATACTATTTGATTGCCTCAAAAACCATAAATTTATTTTACTGTTATCTTTGGTTGTAATTAGTTGATTTTTGATATTTTTATGAAGGATTCACTTCCCTACAGAATTAGTCCATCAATGAATAAGTTATTTCTAAATAGCAGTAAAATTGTTTACGTCAGATTTTACCAATATCGTGCAGCCCTACTTTTATGAACTGTATTTGTTATTGGTTAGTATTTGGAATATAAGAATATTTTTTTTATGTATCACAATTGCCTAATTTATGATCATTAATACAATTTAAAACATTTTATTGATGGCAAAAATGTTTTTTTTTTAATGTTTTTTTAGCAGCTTTTACTTTAGTCTTAGTTCTTTATTCTCTATTTATTCAATAAATGTTTGTAGCATTATCAATGTTGTGCTGCTTAATGCTATTTTTGGATTCAGGAAGCTTAGATTTATTAGAAAGTTAGATCTTTTTTAGATTATAAATATAAATTAATTGAAAAGTAATAAAAAAATGAATTAAATTAGATTAGATTAGATTCAACCTTATTGTCATTACACATGTACAAGTACAAGGCTGCAAAATGCAGTTTAGGTCTAAATAGGAGTACAATAGCAGCAAGTGCAGGATATAGGTATATATATAAGTTATATAAGTTATAAAGTGCAATTATAGAAAAAACTATGGGTTATATTTACAGATGGATGTACTATGAACATTATATACAGGTTGCATTAACTATGAACAGAGATTTACAATAGATGAGGCTGCTATTAATAATCAGAAGTACGAAGATAGATCTAAACATAATTACAAATGAATATGTGCAGTATATATGTACAATTCAAGATGAATTTGTGCAACGAAGTGAATTAAATGTGTACATATTTTCCTATTATTCAATATTTTGTTGTATGAATTGTTTTTTTGCTGTTTATTTATATTATTTAAAAATATTAAAGTTATGTATGGTCTTTATTTATTTATTTACAATATTATTTGCAGTGACCCAAAACTTTCTATTCTGAAATAGTTTTTTTTAATGCTGAATGTTATATTATTATTATTATTATTATTATTTTTGTTACCATATATTTTTTGGTGGGACAAAATAGAATAGATTTATTGAATACAATATTTCATCATTCATAATCTTTGTGTTCCTAACAAAACTCCACAACTCCTTTGACAGTGTTTGTAGGTTTGTTTTACTTGCTTGGAGACATGGATACTGTGTATTTCACTTCTGAAAGCACATAAATGTGGTAATGTAGATACAAAAATCCAAAAAGGATTTGGTCATCCTCCACCCTTTGACCAAACTCATACCAGTGGCTAAAAACCAACACAACCTGATTGTAGTGATTGTGAGTGGGTGGCAGAACGGCAGAGTTTTGGCGGAGCTGACATCTCTCTCGTCTTTTGAGTTGCCAAGAGGCGTCTCTGCGCTCCTTCACTAGCTAACAAAGGCGTTTACACGTGGAAAAATAAGACACATCAAATATGGATCTTTGTGCGTGGAGAATGTGTAAATATATCTTCAAATGCAGCCTTGTTTTTATTTGCTCCCTTGTTGTTGCGGGGGAGTCGGGCTGTTGTCATGAAGCACAGCTCCTCCATCCACTGATCAATATGTTTTCCTCTTTTTCTCTTTCAGAGGAGAAGACACAGCTGGTTCTAAATGTCGACAAACAGCTTGAAGAAGTCAGAGAGTTGGTACGTCTTTGATCAGTAATTTCCACTCACTCGTTTTCTAAATAATGAATTTGGAAAAAAAAAAAATCCCCCCCTGCATAAACAACACCTGCAATGTCGCCGGTGACATGAGACACTCTTCATCTGGCTGAAGGCTGCTCGGTGCTAACGGTGTGATCACATCCACATAATGCGCTTTTAAGTGACACCGCGCGACACATTTCACGCCATTATTGGGGGAAGGCACCGTGGCAGGTGCCGAAAGGAAGGATGTGTGTCGCATGTAAATTGTCCCATCATGTCATGTTGATTGGACAGTGTAAATCAGCGGGGCCCTTTTGTGCACGCCGGTTTGCTCACATGTGACACGGACACATGTCGCAGTTGTCAGAGCTCAACCGCGCCAGAGGTTTTAATGAAGCGCCACATCCTAACTTGACTTGATTTACCGGCTGCCTGAATCAATGCCTCTGCTTGTGCATGACAGTAAACTAGCTAGACGTTTTAATTGTCGACTAGTTTGTTTACGCTGAATATAATTGCTGTTTCTAGATGGAGCAGATGGACCTGGAGGTTCGAGAGATCCCTATTCAGAGCCGAGCCATGTACAACAGCCGTCTGAAGAGCTACAAGCAAGAGATGGAGAAACTTGAGAAAGATTTTGTGAGTGTTAAAAACGTCCTTAGACGCAACAAAACACTGCGCGCTTTGCGTGAATACTTTGACTTCTTTATGTAAACACACGCACACACAAACAAACAAACACGTGCTGTGAAGCTTAGTTCTTCAACTTTAAAACCACCGAAGGTCATTGATATTTCCACTGTGGTTAATTCAGAGTGTTTTTTTTCTACAACTACCGCTTGGGCCAAGGAGAGCGCGCATGTATTTTTTTTCTCCAGATGTCCTTGTTTAGTTATTCATCACTCCACCTGCCCATGAAAAATCCACCCCACACACATCAAACCTTAATGAGACGCTTTGCCTCTGAAGCCAAATTTTTCCTTTGCTTGTTTTACATCACCATGTTTGTCTTTCTTACTCCTCCACTAATGTAGTCCTATTGAAATACATGTCTGTTGGCTTTCTCTGAGGTGGTCACATTTTCGTGATACGGTTAGGAGAGGATAAACTGGACACACTAAACAAACTTTGATTCTTTAATGTTTGGAGTATGAGGCGCTGGCCTTGCCTTTGTGTCTAGCAAGAGTTGGAGATAAGGTTAATATTCTGCATCACCTTTTTCTGTCTTGTGTGGCTGTGAAAATACCAAAATATTTGTATACACATAAAAAATATATTTTTATTGATATTTTACACACAAACATACATATAAGTGTATGCATTTTTATTTGTTGTTTTATGTAAATATTGTATACATGCAAACAAATACACATGCATATGTGTGTATTTAGTTATTTTATTGAAGTATAAAGTAAATAAGGAGCATTTGACAATGGGTCATTTGAATTATTAGAAAATAATTCACATTATCTCAAATTGCGTATACTTATGCACTACGCTTTGCCATTTTTTTAGTATAAATAGTGCATTCTTAAGAAAATTATAAAAAGAACAAGAGCTTTTTAAATACTCAGATAATGCACTTATTTAGCTAATAAAAAGAAGTTTAGCATGCTCAACAACCTGCAGCTTTAGGTTCTATCGGTCGCTAAAGTTTGAATATTTATTTTGCATTGTTCCAGCAAAATTCTCCCACCTAAATGGTTAAGCAGTCTCCTGATGGTGAATTTAGTTTTACTCATGATAGGCACTATTTGGACATTTGTTTTACTAATTTGGCAACCGTTAAAAGTTCGAGTTTTCATTCATTAAAAAAGTTAGCATCCGTTTGGGATGACACTCATGTTAATTGTATAAGTGTATAGTGTGTCATTTGGGATTCACTCATCTAGATGCTTTTGTTTTGATTTTGTTTTTAACCATCGTAGGCTATGATTTAACTGGAATCATTTGGCGTAGTGAAACTGTAAGTTAACACCTGTATGGAACAACTTTAGCTGTGCGGTTTCCTGAAAGTAATTGTACACCTTGGAATATTCATTAGCCAATCAGAATCAAGCATTTAACAGCCCTCTTGTATAATTATATGGAATAAACTTTACAGTTAAAAAGTATATTTGTTCATGCATCATATATAAAGGGAATTAATATTTTAAAGCAAGTGTACTCAACAGTAGACCCACGGGTTGCATATAGCCCTTCTGGATTAATTATGTGGCTTGCATCAAAGTGGAAATTAATATATATTTTTTATTATAATTTGTGCCTTTAGTGGTATTTACCTATTGTATCTAAAACTCTGAGAAGAACATGAGGCACACCACTTTTTTTCAATGTTCTTAAGAGTTTCGCTTCTGTGCTATCTGCCCTATAAAAGAAAACATCTTCAGACAGTGTGTGTAGGCTACAATCATATATCATATTAAAGATGCAGCATTTCATCTTTATACCTTTTATTGCGTAAATTTCAGGCAGCCCTCTCTGCAGCATTAAAAACAAACATTAAAATTGTGAAGCAAACAGCAGAGAGTTGTGGAGTTTGCACTTAAAAGCTCTAGAGTGAACCTCTTTCTAACCTTGTGTAATAATTGTATGGTTTTGTTGTTGTCGTCGTTGTTGTTGTTGTTTTTGAGCTGATAGGATTTGTCTTTGTAAAAATAAATTGCTGAGTTGCTTTGACTGGTAAGAATACCTGTATAAGAATACTACTAATAGTAGTAGCAATTATAATATAATAACAGCTTTTATATGGGCATGCCACCTAGTAATAAAAAGCCCTTTAAAGTCAGTCAAACTGCTGGAATTATCTTAAAAACTTCTGATACAAACTGTCATTTGTGGGTCTTCACATTTGTTATGGTTTAAATTTGGGGCCACATCGGACCTTGGCCTCTGAACCTGCCATAAACCGATAGTTCACACAAAAATTATAATTTTGGCATCATTCACTAACCCTTTACTTGTTTCAGACTGGTTTGAGTTTCTTACTTCTGTTAAACACAAAAAATATTTATTTTGAAATAAGCTGGAAACCTGTGGCCATTGATATTTATTTTTACTACAATAGAAATCAACATTATCAGTTTTTCAGCATTCTTCAAAATATCTTTAGTGTTCAACAGTTGAAAGAAATCCAAACAGAACTTGAAACCCTTTCAGGGTCAGTAAATAGTGAGTAAATTAAAACATTTTCCGTGAACTACTCCTTGAAACTGTTTAACACCCCAGCAAACAATTTTGTGTTTAATAGACATCTAAACGTAGACAGCTTGGCTAAAACAAGGCTAAACTTGGGCTGTCAGTAAAAATCTAATAGCCATCCAAGAATAGCCCAAAACTAGACTAGTCGTCAAATAGACAAATTAGATGGACTTTATATGTGTAGTCATTCATTTCTGATTTGATGAATATTTGGCCTATTCTTAGTCGTCTATTACATTTTCACTGACAGCCCAAATTTAGCCTGGTTTTAGCCAAGACAGCTATGCTTAGTATGTATATACAGTATAAAGCAAAATGTGTTTATCTTTGTCTATTTCTGCACTTTTTGCTAGAAAATACCTACTGAAGTGGAGACTTAATAATTTCTTTTTTATGTATCACATTGGTGTTAAACAGTTTTAAAGCACTTCTCTGTAGCCTTGTTCTCCACTCAGTTCAGTTCTTCCACCATATGAAGTCTCAGCACGCAGCAAATTCTCTTCATCTGAAGTCTCCGCTTTCAAACCCAGCACCTGCACCAAACTCAAGGTGCTCTTGATATCAATTACCAGATGGCTACAGCATCCACAACCATCCAAAACGGCTGACATAAATGAGGAGATTTTTTTGAAACGGATCTTTTGCCAGTGATCTGATGTTGTGCCGCTGTGCTGATAGCTCAGATCACAGTGGAGATCTCTCGTCTCCGAGGGGCCTCACGTTCCTCACCATGGGCATTTAATTGGCCGATGATTAATCTTTAGCTTCTCCTGCTTGACTGTTGCCGTGCTTAATTATCATGCAATTAACACCCGCTGGGAAAGGTTTTGGTGCAGCGTTCATGGTTGCATTCCTTTGCCTTTCACCTCTTTTTTTTTTTTTTTTTATAGAAAAATTTCAGTGGAAACTAATCATGGATATGCAAGATGTTTGTTGCTGTTAACATATTAAGCTGTTGCTTAGCATTTTTAAACTCTGTTTAATAGATCAAACATTTTTTTTGATGATTTTAAGAGCATGATTAATTCATTAGTCTTGGTAGCCTTATTTTAGCATCATTGATATGCTATTATAGATTTTTAATATTTCAAAGTTGATTTAATTTTTTTATTTACATTTTTGCTTCCACTTTGAAAGATTTACTGATTTTTGCTGTTTTTGTAGTTTTTGAAGTGTAAGATTTTGCACTTGTTTACGCCAATGAAATCCATCCATCCATTCATTCATTCATTCATTCATTCATTCATTTTCCTTCGGCTTAGTCACATTATTCATTAGGGGTCACTTATCCAGCATTATGTCACTGTGTCACCAGCAGAGAATTTAACTTTATTTATTTAATGATTTATCCTCCTGCTTGTTAGTAATACTAATGAATCAGGAGTATCACATAAATGAAAACAAACAGTTTATCTCATTTATCCCTTTAAGTAAATTTAAGGTAAAATGAAATCTAAAAAAAATAAAATAAAAATTATTTTTATTTGTACCAACTGAAATTGTCAAGTTAATTATACATTGTAAAAGTTACGAGAGCAAATTATTTGATTGTACTTTAATTTGTTTTAATGAGGTATTCAGGTCTAATTTAATATTTTTTGTCAGTTTAACTGAAGTAAGTTGAGAACTGGAAAACTAGAAAAGTTCTTTTATAAATAATTAAAGGATAATAAGTAATAATTAAAAGTATAAAATTAGCTAAATTTATTAATAGTGTACTTAACTAAAACTAAAATGTTGTTATAGTGTATGACAAACGTAAACCTAAAATACTGGTTTTACTTAAATACTACAACTACAAGAAAAAAAAGGTCTTATAGAGTCAATCCAGGGCCATATGTTCTTGCAAACAAAAAATAAAGTATGAGCAAAAAATAAATAAAAATCTCGAAAAATTGCAAAGCTAATAAACATTAATTTTTAAACAACTGTAAAGAACTGCAAAGGGAAAATTATGTTTTGAGAAATAAGAACGAAACTTGCAAACAAATATAGAACTGCAAATAAAAATCAAGCAAAAAAGGAAAAATATTTCCATATATTCAACCTTGAGTTTGTGATGTGGTTTTCACTTTGCACTTCACATTTCTGCGCGTTTTACTCTGTAGACTTGATTTGACAAGGGGCGGAGTCAAGGGAACTTCGGCGTTTACGGCAGGCTCGGACCTACCTCCATTTACCTTTATTTAAGTGACGTCATCACTTGGAGACACAGTATTACAGATGTGGTCTAACATCCCAGTAGGTCCAGGCCTGCCGTAAACGCCCGATTTTTCTTGACTCCGACCTCTTGTCAAATTAAAGCCACAATATGAAACTTGCAGAAATGTGAAGTGGAAAGTGAAAACAGCATCGCAAACTCAAAAAGCAAAATCTAAAAAAAGCAAATCTAAATGAGCATTTCAATTGACTGGACAGGTTTTTTTTATAATGTACAT